TAACGGTCACAAGCTGGCAGAGGGTAGATTCAGATTAGACATCAGGAGGCGCTACTTCACTGTCAGGGCAACTAGGATCTGGAACCAGCTTCTGAGCGAAGCGGTGCTGGCTCCTACCCTGGGGGTCTTTAAGACAAGGCTAGACAGTCACCTTGCTGGGGTCATTTGACCCCAGTACTCTTTCCTGCCATGGCAGGGGGTCGGACTTGATGATCTGCTCAGGTCCCTTCCGACCCTAGAAACTATGAAACTATGAAGTGTGTCCATTCAGCCATTGGTCTGGCCTTACTAAATCAGATCTTAAGTTAAACCAAATAAACTGCCTAACTCTGTAGTTAAAAAAACAGCTCTCATGCATAAATATGACTGCTATATTAGGCTGTGGCCATGTGGTTGGATCTGTGAGTGAAGACCTCTGCTCCTATGTAGAGCCCTACACTAAAAGCTGATTACAGGACACTGAACTGTAGTATGCAAAAATAATGTTGGAATATCATGCTTTCTGTGAACACAGGTTTCTATATATGAAATACTTGGAACACAATTGTAGAATGATGTTAACATGAACACATCATGTAACTTTATTTTATAGCAAGAACTACCCTAAAATAAAAGCAGGAGCTAGAGTGAACAACTGACTTTGCAAGTGCTGAATCCTACTTAAAATATTGAATGTCATATGAGCAATCTTTTTTAAAATCCTACTTAAATAAATCATCAGTCCTTGGGTCACCAGGCAAAAAATGATGGTTAAAAATGTGTCTCCTCTATTTTGCAGCTGTTTCTCCACCTTCATAGTTCATTTGCTCTTCTCCTTTGACTGACCTGTCATGCCTTTTTTTTTTCCTTGTTACAACGATATCCCTGAAACTGAATGCTTCAACCCCCTATGTCATAGTTTAAATATTCTGCTGCAGCTCACTCTGAAACCTGAGTGGGATGGCCAGGCACCATGAAAACAGCTGGGTAGTGTAAGCATGCCAATGGAAAGGAGATGAAAGGGTGCTGCTAAATTGCTGTCCTTTATTTCAGCTTTCTTTGTGAATTATGAGCTCCTTGGATGAAAGGATTGGACTAATACCAATATTTAATAAATAATAATATGAATATCACTTACGCAGGGTTTTTTTCCAAATGTGCTAAAAAACTTTTGCTGGAATCTACTGAATTGTTACTAATGAAGGATCCTGCAAACACTAATCTGCCTTATGCTTCTAAGAATGTCTTTGAAGTCAGTGTATATACAGAAAAACACAAAAATATGTGTTTGCGGGATTGGCACCAAAAATCCAAGTTTTGGTTTTGAGATGTTCACATGTGTTATGGTATATCATTGGGAGTTGTTTATACACACACATAACTGTGGGCTAAATTGGGCTCTAAGGATCTCATATGGCATTTCTCCCTGGCTACCAGAGAGGCACATGGGGCTATCTCTGTGGCGCTGTGGTTATCAGTAAAGACTGATTAGGTGGAGGGGCCTGACAGCTGTAATGGTGGACAGTATTCTGCTGTGATCTTCATTTGCTCTGAGTGGTAATTTCCTCTTCACTACTTGCCTTTCATTTCCTTCTGTAACATAGGTGACAGCTTAAGTACTGGAGCACAACCCCGCACTGCTGCTGCAGTGGTAGGGCACAACTCTGCACCACTGTCTTTGCTGCTGCTGCCAGGCAGTGGCTTCAGCCAGG